TTTATATATATATATTATTTCAAACAGGGTTTTTTTTAATTTGTTTTTTTACTCTTCTTGTGAATGGAAACAATCACACTTTATATATATATTGTTTCGTAATAAAATTACCAGAATTCACAAGTACTGTGGTAGGACACAAAAAAAAGTACTGATGAGCAGAGTTCGCCATCGCAAGGTATTCTTTACTTTGAACGGCGTCAAAAAACCCCAATGAAATTGTAAAGTACATGGGGACAATATATATTACAAAAATACAAATACACATTGTATACTATAAATTTATTTACATATACACATGACTACAGACTTATACATCAACGTATTTGTATACAGTGTTCGAAGCTACACTACCATAACAACCGTTGCATCCTCCCTCATCCTCGTCAAAGTACGATTCTGTGTTAAAGTCTGGTTGTTCTTATATGCAGGAACGACAATCGGCTAACGGGCACGATAATAGTAGGATACATATAACATAGTACAGCTCCGTTTACCAATCGCAACCGGGTCAGTACACTCGGGCAAGCACATAGACAGGTAATCCGAACAGCAAATTACTTACAGAAATTAAACATGACGTCGGAAAAATCATCGGCGAGGCCTTTGCCGACTATTCCGCATCTGGAAGGTATGTTGTTTCGCCATTTGAAACTTGAGTTTACAACTATATGTGCATAATCCTCAATTTTAGAACCTATAGACTATAAATGATATATATATGTGTGTGTGTGTGTGTGTGTGTGTGTGTGTGTACATGTGCACGTGTGCATGTATAGATATATATAGATTTATATAGATATAGGTATAGGTATAGGTATAGGATATATATACATATTAATTTATTTCTTAATTTATATTTATGTATACCTATATATCTATTTATATTTATGGATATATATATATATATATATTATGTATATATGTATATATATATGGGTGTGTGTGGCTGTGGCTGTGTGTACACAAATATGTGTCTCATTTTTCAGCCGGCCTTCAGGTAACAATTTAATTGCATTGGACCAAACCATCCTAAGTATAATGATGTATCACTGACCGCAAACGGAGACGCATGTTTTTTTGGATGACAGTTTTTTGAGTCGGGCGCTTGTACTATTGATAGGAAGCATACGAAACTATTCCTACACCCATGGGCATAGAGTCGGGTGATGCGACCGTGCCCCGTGTGTACTTGCTGTGTGTACTACATGGTATATATATATATATATAGGCCTGAAACATTTGAAACACCTTGAGTTTTAAATATATATATATATATATAGGCCTGGAACATTTGAAACACCTTGAGTAGTGCTTGTAGAATCGTACTTAGAACATCGAAGGTTTAGTGTGTATTTCCGTTGAGTCATATACAACTTTCTTTTTAGTGTGTCCAAAACATCTAAGAATGCATAACCTGGTGATACTGGGCCTGAACGACGGTATTTTTATCATATATGTATATATACATATATTACGGGATACTTCATCAGGGGATACATACTTCATTCCGCTAGTACCAATACGTAGTCCTTCGATCTTTTTCTACCATACAGACCCAGCATTGGATCCCAACTTTGAGTTCTACCAGGAAGTCATTCAACCGGCTGGAGGTATATCTAATACAAACCTAAAAAAGAACCAAAAACTGGGCTCAGGCCAATTTGGTGTGGTGTTTTCAGGAATACTTAAAAAAGATTCAGTGCAAATCGAATGCGCGATTAAGGAACTACTTGCGGGACAGGTATGTGCAGCGACTCTTCTTGAAATAGACTCTGACTATTTTGAAGTATTGTTTTCTCTATCGTACTTGATTTGAAGGCCGATGTGTGCGCTTATATACATATATATATATATATGCAATTCATGTTAGAGGATCTAAGATCTATAGTTGGTGGAGCAAATGTCCGTTGCATCGCCACTCCTTTCTCCGTCGACTACTAGTTTTGAAAGCGTATGTCTATATTGCGCATTAGCGTTCACAGTCACACTTGAATACTTCTAGTAGTAATCTGCTCTGGTGGTACTAATATATCACTGAGATTCCCAGTACAATCTGGCGTAGTCTACGTCAACACAACATCCAACACATGAGTCTATTTATAGATTATTCCCCGATATAGTCGTTATTCTTACCTACCCCTTTCCTACGCCCGCAGAGTGACGAAGAGATCCGCAAGTTCAAGAAAGAAGCAGCTCTGATGATGGAGGCCCACAGCCCTAATGTGGTCAGCTGTTTCGGTGTGACTATTGACGAGCCTATCTGTATCATTCAAGAACTCATGCCATTGGGAGACTTACATACGTACCTGAGGACGCAGGGGGCTCGGAGAGCTACTATAACCGTAGGCGAACGGTACTATCTCAGGTAGACAACTCTGTGTATGTGTTATATGTGTACGTGTGAGTATGAACTATAGCCGTAGGTGTATGGTCCCATCTCGGGTAAGCTACTCTTTGTGCGTCCTATGTGTGTACGTATGGTAGGTATATTGCTCGAACTATAACATTGTGCGAGTGTCCGTTCGATCGGGTTGTTCTGAATGTTTCAGTGTGATACATGCTGGTGCAGAGGCGAGGAGAGCTATTCCACCTGTAGGTCTCTCGTACTATCTCAGATAAGTAGTTCGTGTGTATTAATGTAGTTGTATGTACAGTATATTGCTCGGGATCGGCTTGTGTGTGAGGATACGATCGAAGTGGTGACCGACATACAGATTCCAGGACACAGGTATAACTGTAGTCTAATTCCTCTCTAATTGTCTTCTACCCACACAGCTACCAGATCGCCAACGGCATGAACCATTTAGCGCAGCACGGCATTGTACACAGAGACCTTGCGGCTCGTAACTGTATGCTGGGACACCCTACACCCAGAACATTTGGTATTCCTGTGGTCAAAATAACCGATTTTGGACTGTCGAGGTCGGTGCAGGAAGATTCGGATTACTATAAAATGAATTCGGATGGCAAGGTATGCAGATTGTATGTATATGTATATACTTATGTTAGATATATATGTGTATATGTATATATATATATATATATTATAATTGAACTATGTATTTTTTAACTAATTGAACAATATATAAATTCTAGCTGGCTTAACTATTTTATATTTTATATTGTCTCACTCATCAGGTGCCCATACCTTGGATGGCTCCCGAGACCCTCAAAGAATTCAAATTCACGGAAGCGAGTGACGTCTGGAGTTTCGGTGTGACTATGTGGGGTAAGTAACCCTCCGAGTACTTAAACCTGGTTTATCTTTGAGGGGGAATGGTTGATGTGAAACCATTACGCTATGGCTGATATGTTATTTTACGTACGAGCGGGTGATGAAATGTAGGTACGTATAATTTTAAGTATATGTATATATTTATATATAATGCACATTTTTCACTCCGATGTTATAGACCTACTTTCTGTTTGGTCACGACATAATAGTACCAGGAACGTTCTGATGTCATATTCACATTATATTTATTGTTGGTGCTTGATAGATTTCTCACAGTAAGCTTCGTTTTGTGATATAATCACATATAATTTTACATCGAACAACAAATACATCCCTTTCCTCAATACTCGTATAGGGCCTATCGCTAACCTATTGAAATATATGCTAACCTCCTAGGTATATATCTTTTATCCCTTTTTGTAAATATAGAAATCTTCTCAGACGCGGCAACGAAGCCATATGCAAACGTCGCCGCAAATCCGTTCGCCATCTTGCAGGTATGTGGAGTGATGAGTACTCCATTGCTCGCAATATTTCGGTTAAATCACATACCGCACTCCGTGTGAGAGTATTCGTCTACCGAAACGTCCCAGTATCTATATGCATACAGTATTACATGCATGCATACATTCATATATATACATACATACATTCATATATAAACTCAATTATATCTACACCTCCACTTACACTCGCACTCTGCTCTGCTTCACAGTACATAACATCAGGTCAACGTTTGCACCAACCCACTGGGTGTCCGCAAGAAGCTTACGACACTATGTTAACTACCTGGGACGGCGACAGAACGGCACGCCCATCGTTCTTTAGCCTCTCATGCACCAGTATGTATTTTGGGTGTCTGCTATATATATAATATGTTCAGATGTAATAGTGGATGCATGCGCAAATACGTCTATATATTCTATCTGTATATGTATATATATACTATATATTATATTATATTATACTGACTATACTATACTATAATAACCTCAATCGCCATAACACACCACGCACAGTCGGTTACTGCTTCATCCCGCACTGTGTCACACCGGTGACGGTGATAGTGAAAGGCAAGTTCTCGTTGATTGTGATGAAAGATGACATCCCCTCTGGCGGTGACTACTACGACAACATACTCCATCCCGACGGCGAGGACTACTATGAGTACTCTGAGTTTGAAGATACAATGCGACGGGTATGATGTGTATGTAAGTGTGTACGCATTCATATATGTGTTGGTGTGTATGTACGTGTATACGTATTCATGTAAGTGTGTACGCATTCATATATGTGATATGATGTGTATGTGTGTGTATACGTATTCATATATGTGTATGTATGTGTATATGTATACATATATGTGTGTGTATACGTATTCACATATGTGTTGATGTGTATGTATGTGCATGCCTATTCATATATGTGATATGATGCGTATGTATGTGCATCCGCATTCATATATGATTGTACATATTCATGCGTGCACGTATGTGTGTATGGGTTGAGGTAGGTGCTTATAATACATTGGTATGCATATGGACATGTGTGCATTTGTCGTATATGGGAACGCCCGGACCTGTACACTCACAGGTACATCTTTCTGCACCCCGATAAAAACGGCCACTCTACTGTGTATAGATGTGGCGTTTTGTGCTGCAGAATACGTCCACTGAGATATATCTACGCCTCTGACTGATCGAATACACAGACATGTATGCTCTACCCAAATAGATACACGTGTGTTTGTATAGGTACAGGTAATCCCTAAACCCTGAAGCCGTTAAAACCCTAAATTTAAAATTTAAAAAAGGGTACATGTATGCGTATATACATATACATGTGCATAAACTCGTGCTGCCACACATTCCGTTCGAATTCCCATAATTATACATGAAGGGGTTACACATAGTCAGTACACGTACAAATACCTACTCATGCATGTACATTATACAGTTAAGTATATATTGTCATATTCATATATATACTTATTCATATATATACATATATACATATAAATACATATACGTATTCATATATATATCCATATATATACATATACATATGCATATACGCATTTATCTTTATATCCATATATACACATACACATAATAGGAAGGCGCCAGTCCTATGCCTCTGATTGGCGCTCCAGTAGCCATAGAGGCAACGAGCACACACAACTCACCCATGACACAGGCCGCGGATATGGGAACGTCTACGCCTGTGGCTAAGCAGAAGCCAACTAACACAGCCACGAGGTTAGCTATGCCGCATGATATAGATGCCAGCAGCAAGGTATCGTGTGTGTGTAGGTAGGGCTGTTCTCTGTGTATTGGTATATATATAGTTATATATATATGTCTGTGTCTGTGTATAGATGGTCGAGAGGTATGGTTGGTGCTGGTAGGCGTGTGACAGTGCAGTTGGCGTGTATGCTTGTGACTATGCAGTTGCCAATCACCACAGCCACGAGATATTCCTATCTGTTCACGAACTCCTATCCGGCCCTCTATTGCAATACATTTTGACATGCATTTTATTATTAGTATTGTATTATATACTCACTCATATATCATAATATATATTCACTTATACATTTCTTTCTACACAATATACATAGGTACCTATCGCGGACGAATTAACCGGAAAAAGACAGAGAAGTGGATTCTTCAAGGGAAGAACTCGAAAATTCTGGATCATATTCTGGTCGGTGGTAGCCGCTATAATCATAATTATCGCTGGTGCCGGTGCGGGCGTTGCCATAGCAACGGTGAGTTGTTGTTTTACCTATGTTTCCTCGGACCTACCTTGTGTGATTATATATATATATTAATATATTCATCTATATAATACGTATAATATGTGCGTATGTGTGCGATACTAAAAGTGTATCGTTCCGGTCTGCACCGCAGCTCATCGACTTCTGATTTGTGTGAAAACGTACACGGATCCGCTACGGATTGTATTTTAAATTCTTACAATTATTTTTTTTATTCTATTCACTTCATACGTATTTCATTGTTTTGACTTGTACGTATTTCATTGTATTCGCTTATACGTATTATATTGTATTCACGTGTATCTCTATACCTTTTTTTCAACTGTTTAACGTTTTCAACCCTGCAGAGCGGTTCATCCGATTCTTCGACGTCCAATCTGTGCGAAAACGTAGCGTGTACAAACCCCGATTACATCTGCAATAGCGCCAGCGGCATATGCGATATAGCTGGTATGTCTGCTGAGCGACTGTTTGATGATATGAAACTGATATGGAGGTTTATAATATATATATATATGTATGTATATATTGTGTGCGTGTGTGTGTGTGTTACTAGAATCAATATTTTCTTCCTCCATGTGTGCCACTTCTCGTTCACGCGCCATTGCCCAGTTGCCATTCTCAACCCAACACACATAGCACAATCACAACTCTAAATTAACTATATACTCACAACTTTACACTCACAACCTTACACTCACAACCCTATCCCATCCTTACAGCACCAGCAAATCCCGAAGTGACTCAAAGCATAACTCCCAATCTAAGTCCTAGTCCTAGTTCTAGTCCAAGTACTAGTCCGAGTGTGATCGCCTCTGCCAGCGCCAGTCCCACCGCTAGTTTATCGCAGTTTGCGTCCCCCTCCACTACACCCACTTTCAGTTTTAGCCCTACCCCTAGCGGTCTACCTGTAGCCACAGTCACAGCCATACCTGTGTTTACTCTTACACCTACCCCCACTGTGACGGCCCCTATAGTAGCCGTTTCCACGAGTCCTGCGGCCTCAGTGGTACCCAGTGTTCTGCCTACCGACTCGTCGATGCCGACAGTAACCCCAACGGCTTCGCCAGCTGCGTCGGTTGTTCCATCACCCGCGGGAACCCCGGCGAGCACTCCTACTCCGGAATCTACTCCCAATCCTACCCCGGCAGCTACACCCGACCCTACCACAGAGCCTCCCATAGTAGTGACCACATCCACGACCATCGAAGAACCGACTACACCTGAAGAACCAACCCCTGAAGAAACTACACCGGAGGAACCAACACCCGAAGAAACTACACCCGAAGAAACTACACCCGAAGAAACTACACCCGAAGAAACTACACCCGAAGAAACTACACCCGAAGAAACTACACCCGAAGAACCAACCCCTGAGGTAACTACACCCGAAGAAACTACACCCGAAGAACCAACCCCTGAGGTAACTACACCCGAAGAAACTACACCCGAAGAACCAACCCCTGAGGAACCAACCCCTGAGGCAACTACACCTGAGGAACCAACCCCTGAGGTAACTACACCTGAGGAACCAACCCCTGAGGAAACTACACCTGAGGAAACTACACCTGAACCGACGCCTGAGACACCCAACGAACCCGCAGCCGAAGAAGCGCCAGCGGACACGCCCTTGGAGCAGGCAGACGAAGTGGCCCCGGTAGAGCGCAGAGTGGTGAGGTGAGTGGGATACTTAGAGTGCAACCTGCTCAGGCCGGGACCGTGGAGAACAAGGATGCATATCGTCTATTGGTAATAGACAATTAATTAGGAGGAGTCTGCGGGGCCAGGCACGCCCGGTAGGACGCAGGGCAGTCGGCGCGTAGCACACCTTGTTGCTGACTGGGGTTCAGCGAGGAGCGGCTGGAGTCTCATTCTACTGTGGAATGGTTGATTACGGCCGATCTCAGACAAGCAAGCCTTAAAAAGACTATATCTGGGTTTATTGGCCACACCAAAGGTTACATGGTCTCCTCCTCATTCTATTTGCGCTATATCACGATCCGTTGTCAGTTCAGGGATTATATATATATATATAAGAATACCAAAAAGGCCGATCTGGCTTACATAGTCGCGATGGAACGTACGCGGATGTTTAATGCCGATAAGGTGCTGTAAGGGCTGGTGTGCATGGCATGCCTGGTTGGTGTGTCGATCGGACGGAAATCCCAGAGGTTGTGTGGGTAGGAAGTCTTTGCACTGTGTCTTCTCGGTACGTCGGCTACTGCAGAACCAACTATACACATTTGTCAATGCAAGGATATGGGGCCTTTGGGTTTCTAACGGCCTTCCAGCTGGTACTACTATACGGTGTGAATGATGAGATGCATGCGGGAAACCAAATTTTACGAGCTATGGGATATATTGCAGTAAAACCATGTTTAGAGCTATGGAGTGGTATCGCTTTGGGCGGTGAGAAATTCTCGAGAGATGTTGTCAGTAGACAAGATGTGCTTCTAAAAATAGCACACACTGAGACCCCGCTTTGAACGGGCTTCGGGTTATTGCACCCAGAATGCTATATAGTGGACATGCCACGGCATACCTTGACACTATGGTTATACACATAGACCATGAGTACTTTGGACTCTCGATCGCCCGGTTTCTACTGTAGTCGTCGCTCGAAGTGCCCAGGCAGCACACATTCAACATTTAAACACTAAACAGCCTTTGAACTGGTTGGTTCTCAGGAAATTAGGAGTGGTTATGGCCATTGTGCTGGGGTAACGGTGTTAATAGTTCATGTAAGTTGGTAATATACAAATATAAATGTAGCTTGACTCAAAGCAACAAAGCTCTCAACTAAAACAATAAACGTACTGAACTATATTATCTCAAGACACCATAGCGCCCACCAAGCAACAGTTGATGAATATGATAATTTAAATTAAAAAACCGGATCTTTTTTTTTAGTATGCAGGCAAATACATTAGTATCGGGACAGGTAGAAACATTCCTCTCTGTGTTTAAACCTAACTAGGTTTTTCGGTTGATGTGAACATTACCATGTGCTACATTTCTTACCCACAATTTCCCCAAAGTTTATTAGAATACACCAAAACAGTCGATATTAAACTTAATCAATTCTGATATAAATTGGGAGTCCCAATAGGTTATGGGCGATAATATAGACAACGACTCTGTGCTGCAGATTGAAGCCAAATCACTCACAGTGGACGGCGAAGAATTCGCCACCCCCTTGGTCCACACCTCCACCCCACCGACCGGCCACTTCTTAGCAACTCCCAACGACGTCCGGAAGCCTATCCTTTGACTCACCAACCCGTAGTCACCACCACACCCACAATGTTACCTGCTAACGACAAAAACCACCCCAAGTGGACATGGACCATTCTCGATATCTCCGGCCCTAAGTATGATACATGGAAAACGGACCTTTACTTCGCTGCCGCCACCGATTATACAGCTGACCTCCGCCCACTACTTGCCTATGTCAGCTCCGCGGCTACGGACATGGGCGCCTCGCAATTAGCCATTGCTAACAAGGACACCGGAGCTTATCTGCGCGCTCATCAAGTACTCTTCTGATCCTTATTCGCTGCACGCCGGACATCTCTGCACAACGATATTCCGCTCAGTCACCCATGGCTTCTACTTAAGTTCTGATACGTCGCTTCAAGCACAATTCAGCAAAAGAGCGGAAGAACATCAATCATGCACACCTCAGGAAGTTTCAACGCAAGGACAATGAACCCCTTCGAGAATGAACCTACCGCTGTGAACTTTGATCCGCCACACTCGCGAACAAATGGCTGCCTTCTCTCCGGACTACACACAAGACCTGTTCCTCTCTGGCCTCCCAGTGTTCTACCAAGAACAAACGAAGGGCTATCTCTTGGGCCGATCGACCAACTCACGCAGCATCATTTCCATCCAAGACCTCTGCTTATATGTTGAGGAGTGGGAGACCACGAACATCCGGCCGCACACCGTTGACATTGTTACACCAGCCACTGTTGATCACATCAGTACACAAGTCGAAGCGCTCACTAAACGCATGAATGTCCTGTCCTCCAACATTACAGCCCCACCCGCTCGCAAATTCCAATGCTACGTCTGTTGGTCAAGCCAACACCACTCGGACCGTTGTACCAAAGCTTCTGGCAAGCGTGGAGATAAGACGCATACATCTCGCGAATGTACCAATACCGACATGAACTGTACCAACTGCAACAGGTCCCAAGCACCACCTCGCACCCCCTCTCATTTTAAACGAGTGGTCAAGATTACATGTATACACAAACTGTCTCAGCATCAATTGAATGAACCTCAACTATTGATGTTCAATTCCCGCGCACGCCAAACGTTGACAAATATCGAGCTAGGATCGTTCCCCCTCCAAATGGCTGACGAATCTACCATCATCATCTTACCACATTTTGGCATGACATGCATCAACAACAACATTTTCCAACAACTACTATCCCAGAATTTGTTACATGACAATGGCTTCCGCCTCGCCTACCCCGCGAACACCCACACATGTGTAATTACTGAAGGGTTGCACACAATTACTATCCCCGGCACACGTGGTGGCTACCATATCACTTTCGATCAATTAAATTTATTATATCCCATAACGGCTAACACTGCCCATAACGGCTAGCACTACCCATAACGGCTAACACTAATACCGTCAGCATAAACAACGCGGTATAAAGCTCACACACAAACCATATGTATACGTTGACACCAATACATGGCAACTCAATCCTGACGAGTGGCAACAAGCGATGACACATCTAGATTGGCAACCTACCATTGATATCTGTACCAGATAAATTCAATGCCCAGGTTCCCAGATACGCTGGACCCGAGGGTGGCAGCGTCCACACGGACTGGCTAGATGTGAATCTACTTCTCGAGAAGGCTTACGGGAACCCGCTGGCCATCGTTGTACAACTCCGACCTTGTGACAAGAAGTGGACGGCTGTCTGAACACGCTTCCAGAGCGACCCCTTTATTATTTGCAACACGGCATGCACGTTCCTCTGACACGGCATGCACGTTCCTCTGACACGGCATGCACGTTCCTCTGACACGCCACTACAGCAGTCGAAAAGCCCACCCGAATTTACACTTTGGTGGCCCTAATCGGTCGGCTTCCTACCGCTGTCGGCGACTCCTCTCCCTTTAGATCAGCCATTATCCACGCACGTAGAGGGTTGCCCATGACACTACCGACACCAACTATGGTCCTGGGGAGAAACTGCACATCGACCTTCAAGATCCCATACCTCCCAACCGGGACGGTAACATCTACGCCCTGGATATAGTGGACGCAGCTGATACTTTTGGTATCCACAAAAACCTCCCAAACAAAACGTCTCTTGAACAGCAAGTGGAGGGGTTATTGGAACATATTCCCCGACACTGGAAACCCCACACACTTGTGTCTGACGGTGACTCTGTTTTACAGAGTGGAATCATAAAAACACACATCACCTCTATGAACATCGAGCTCCGCGTAACGCAGCCCAACACCCCTCAGATGAACGGCGTTGTGAAATGCCAGCACGCCACTCTTAATACATTGATTCGCTGTCTCCTTTTAGATGCTGGCATGTCCCTTCCTCTCTGAAGCCTTGCCAAGACATATGCCGATACAAACCGCAGCCTCACCCCTCCAAAGAACACCAAATTGTTCTCTCCACATCGTATCTGACACCGCCTACCCGTCCCCCTATTTCCCCATTTGGGTTTTAGCTATGTAGTTCAAAGTCTACAATGTCCCGATATCACGCACCCTAAACACGAGTACGTCCCACAATGTGGATTTGGCGTTCTCTTGGGGCGCACTCTCACCGAATCTGATGACGCCTTTAAGATCCAAACCTCCTCCACTTAGCTGATTCTACACAGTCGTGACATTCATGTTTTTCTCTGACGAACGCCCGCAATGGTCGTCCAACGGTAAGCACGCCACCAGATATTCTACACTATCGTCTTGGGAGATGATCGAGATCCCATATGTTGTGCCCACGCCACCGCCACTGACTCCAAGCCCCTCGATTCCTCCCGTTTCACAGGACCCCATCCCTCTGCCGTCCTTCATCCCCCCAGCCCCGTCCCCAATTCTCATCAACGACCCCATCACGCCCCCATACCAGCCCCGCCATCTCTGTACGATATTACTTCCAACTCACAACATCACTCCGCCACCTTCGCCGATCCCCCTCTCACTTGTCACTATCCAGGTGATCCCATCACTAACATCTCTAATACCAATTCTACCACCTGATCCTCTGTCGGATTCCGAACCAACTACGACCGATTTTGGGTTTGATACCGAGGAAATGCGCAAGCAATGGAATATCCTGTTCCAAACACGCGGTGATATCAAGCACCTTGTGCACGCATTTTACACGAACGCAATCAGATGCGTCAGGTCGTAGGCGTCAGAACCTTATACCAATCTTGCCGCATTCTACACTCCACACCTGAGTGTATATGACCCCGGTTTCCATGCAGACTTCTCCGACTCGGAACCTACTGTCCTTTGCGCTCAGATCGCCTACCTTCGCCACGATGCCTTAACATGCGCACCATCAGACGCCCCACATTTGTCTCTACTTCATTCAATGATCAACTCACAACAATGTCGCCTGTCACCCCGCTCGCACCAACTCGCACACCGCGTCCGCGCTATTACTTTTTTCTTCAAACTGGACTTCACACCATGGATTTTTTTTTTTGACGATATCGTACTGAAAATGATTCACTTGTATAAAGAAAACATTTCTCAATCCCCAGGCGACACTGGTGTCACCTGGTTTGTCCTTCATTCACTTTTATAAAGAAATAATTTCTTACTCGCCGGGCGACACCGGCATCACATGGTTTGTCTTCCATTAGCTGATACAAACAAAACATTACTCACTCCCCTGGTGACACTGGCGTCATGTGGTTTGTTCTTCATCAACTGATATAAAGGAAACATTTCTCACTCCCCGGCATCACATGGTTTGTCCTCCATTAACTGATATAAAGAAGGCATTTCTCACTCCTCGGGCGACACCGGCGACACATGATTTGTCTTCATTCACGATGGCTTCCTATGTACCCTTTGCATCTACAGGGACGACTTCCTTGTGAGACTGTGACTTCATACTCGACTCCGCAATCTTTTCCTGTCGTGCAGCCTGTTGTGCAAGTTCCTTGTCTTTAGACGTTTATTTGGCCTTTGTCTTTTCAGCCTCTTACTAGGCCTCGAACTTCGCAAAGTCCAGCTTGTATCAAGGCACAATCAGCTTCATTAGTTTCCAAAGAACGTGGAGTACACTGTTCGTTACCCCAAATTCCTTATGACACCAAACATGAACCGATAATGATACCCTATCACATGTCTTACCAATAAAAGATAAATCCACACCACATACACACACATAGAGAGAAAATAAAGATACTTGTCATGTATCTATATGTTCTAACAGGTTATGGACCTATCAATAGCATCTTACAATAAGTCGACTACAGTACTGATCCAGTACACTACAAGCTTTTCTACTCAGCGGCCACAGCTACCATCACAGTATCGATGAGACCAAAGTATATAGTATATAAATACGTTTAATCATATTGAAAACACATCGCAATGCCTCATATAGTTTATATAAAAGTCATTAACCTACCCAAATCCTCTGAAACATTCGAAGAAGCCCTTGACTTCGGTCACACTCGCTGGTAACAATTTACTCGCTATAATAACATGAGTGAAGGCAATCGACCCCTTCAACTGATACAAGAACTCGTCCGTGAGTTTGAATTCAACACACGCGAGCTTTATACTCAAATCACTCGGGCCTTTGCTCACCTTGTAGTCTCCCGTTCGCCCTCTCGCAAATGCACGCGCGTACGAGACATACAAAGACTGTTTCCAGTACAAACAATGTGCTATTTACCTTGAGTTTGAGTTCAATCAACCATAGGATGACAAACAAACCGTTGATCGTGGGCTCAATGTCACAAATACCCCCTTGACCTCTTTCGGAGAGAAACTCGAAAACGGAAAAGCCCGACGCTGATTGTAACCAGAACGGTACCACAGCTCTTTTCTACTCACGCCCAACTCACCGTCGCACTCGATGAGCTCGCAATATTGCCTCTCAGTCGCACTTAACCCAAGACTCTTGCTGCACATTGCGAAATATTACCTGCTCAACCAGGTCTCTCCATCAGGGAATGCCCAAAATATCCGGATATGTATAAATGCACCAACCTCACGGGCTATTGTAACTTCAATGATCGATTTACTGGTCTTAAAATGGAGTTGGAACACTACGTGACTCTCAATCAATTACACCCGCAGTGTTATGACTGCACTGTCTGAGGAGACATCGGCATGGCGGCTGATGCGAAATGCCACGCATCCTTATCAACTCCATCGATGAAACCTTAGTCAACTCAATGTACAGAAAGCACCTATCTAAAGCACCACACAAATTCTTACGCACATCTGTGCTACAACAAAATCAGATGACCATGGACGCTTCTGGAGTGCACTCCAGAGTCTCACAGACTTTACAACTACTGACAATATCACCGAACAAATAGGCACTAGAATCAAAACATAAACATATTTTAGACGTGGGAGGTCATACCTGATAAGTACTAAATCTGTGTTTTAATGTATAGCCTCAACGGAAACTACAAACTACTGCGATCTGACATTGACTTGAAAAGCCCAACACTCAAAATTGACGAAGTGCACGGTCTGTTCCAAGACTCTAAAGTACGTATGCGGCAATCAACTTGAATCCTCCACGTCGATCTGTGGCCTCGACACAGTAAACACTCAGTATTTACCCTAAACCCTGAAACTCTAAAACTCAGTCACTAGTAGTACGTATATGTCTCATCTGCAAAACAGATGGTCATATCATTTCTCTTGCCTGACCGCACCGTCCATCTCAAGACTCTGAAGTGCGATACGCGTACTCGCATCGGTCGCAATGTTGTCACCTGCCTTAAAATATGAACTGGTGGGATCCCCAGTGGGTGCACTACCTCCACTCCATGGTATGCCAATCCAAATAAAGGCGATACCCCTTTCTATATGGCCCAATATACAGGCCTGTTGAGTAAGGTTTTGACAGGGTTGAACGTAATCAGAAGAGAAAAGGTTGGTAATGTGAAGGAAGCCAACCATTGGATAATAAAGAATCTGGGAATCTCCAACCAAAATGTCGATCAGTTAATTCTCAGAATCCTTCCGGAAATTGATAGAGGATTGCGAGCTCAACCAGTATCATACTACCGATCTCATTTCGGTGATAGGGTCATACTACGCTCAATTGATTGGAGAGTCTAACATGATATTCGGCGATTTTGTCACATTTTTTACTTCGGATCATGAAAGCCCCTGATGTTGCTAAATTGCCAGTAGACTACCACTTCTTTAGGACTGGATCAAATTGACTGAATGCTGTGATGTTCTACGTCAAGGACGGCGTTTTCAAAACAAAACAAAAAAAACTTTTGGCCAAGTTCTCGATGCCACGCTGATGATTGGAGAAGGCGTCAAGCCGATCGGTGGGTATCCCAATTCACTTAGATGTCAGAACATGTGGCCCTCGACGCCGTTGATAAAAAAATATAACACGTGGAGAAACGTTGAGATGATAAATGTGGGAGGTACGCTCATATCCAATTAGGAGGCTCGAACAAAGTGCTCCGAGAGTGACGATATATTGGGTATTCTCTTTGGACACACGCCGACCTCGGATTGAGAAATAATTTAGCATCACGTGGTGCCCTGGGTGGTTTGTATGATCCACTGCAAAAGGTATTGTTTTATATGGCGTGGGACAGGCATCGGATCGATACTTTACATCATTCTACCCGCACATCTTCAAAAAGACATTCGATCCCAGAACGCCCTCGACGCAGACCACAGTAATTTAAAAGCTCATGTTAGATGTCCCACAAATTGCACATACGCTAAAAAAATAAATTTTGCAATTTACATCAATGAGATCATAGCCTTGATCAACACCCCCACTTCCGCACCTGCACCCGCACCCGGGCCCACAGCCAACTACACATCCGATGTACTGACACCGAGTCATGAAACTACCGTTAGCGTGTTAGCGTGTGATTCTAAGAACGTTCAACAGTTGTTATCTATGGATATCAAATAGATGCTTGTTCTGGTTTATCAATAATAAACGCGCTGTTGTGACACAAACTGAAACGATGGGGAACAAACACCTCGCCGCACTCAGTGAAGCAAAGAAACTGCACAGACTGCACCAACAAGGAGAGCAAGCCAATATTGAGAAGAAGCAACTTGCTGCCTTGAGCGATGGCAAGAAACAGCAGAAAATGGGTCTAAAGAGAACCGGGTAAGCCAAAATTGAGGAGAGGCACATTGCTGCACTGAGCGAAGCTCAGGAACAACATAAAATGGATCTAAAAAAAACCCCCCTTAAAGTAGGGCAAGCCAAAACTGAGGAGAGACACCTTGCTGCACTTAGCGAAGCTAGAAAACAGCAGAAAATAGACCTAACCCCCTAAAAGCAGGGCAAGCCAAGATTGAGGAGAGGCACCTTGCTGCATTGAGCAAAGCTAGAACAGCACAAAACAAGAACTGGCAAAGGCTGAAGCAGATGTGGCAGAGCAGGAGTGACTGTCGGCTGAGGATGCGGCACAACAGGTCACAGTGAAAGTTGACTGAGGAGAAGTAACTGGCGGTGATGAGTGAGAAGAACAAACAGCACAAGCTGGACTTGGCTAAGATCAAGGTCTTGAAAGGGGGTTAGAAGGCAAAGGCCGACGAAGCGGCTAAAGAGGAAGATTTATAACAAACTGCAGGGCAGGAACAGCTTGGGTATCTTAGTGAGTTCGC